TCTATCTGGAAAAGTTCTTACTTTTTTGAGACAGCATCAATGGAATGTAGTTAACCTGTAAATAAATATATTACCACATTCATTTTGAAAGATTTACAGGATGCTAGATTTGACTATTCATGTTTACTAGTCAAGTGTTCCTATCAAACCCCAAGCTTCATGATAGCATTTCAAGCAATCTTTTTTTTTTTTACATTAGTACAATTGCCAAAAATCTGTTGCTTGCACTATAGCTTCTAATTGGCAGTTTTGGAGGAAATTAAATAAACATTCCCCAAAAGGTGATGAATGCAGTTTACTAATAAGAAGCAGAGTATATAGTTTGAATATTGTGCTGAATATTATGCAGAAACAATTTCTGATTTTCTATTTGTTGTTCCTTAAATACCACCACAATGACTGTAACTGTATTGTTACAGCATCATTTTATGACCTCATAAAAGCATAATGGAAATAACTTCTGTTTAAAGAATATCACATTGTAGGACATATTTTTTAAAGGGACCTCTATTTGGCACACAGAAATTTGTGTGTGTAAATTGAATTTGTACCCACACTGATTTGCAGGTAGACACAGTCAAGGCTTCTTTACATATGCAAAGTGTTAAAAACAATGCATTTAGAAAAAGGAAACTGCAAAACATTACATGCAACTATACAACAGGCATTGTGAAAAGGACAAAGCAGCAAGAAAACATTTGTTCAATAAGAATATGAGATGGATTATATGATTTGTGAAGCAAAATGTTGCAAGATAATATCCCTAATTTATACAATAATATGGACCAAGTAAGTCAATGCATTCAAAAGAATGCAGCAGAGGAATCTGTATACATTTACTCTTAGCTTTGGGGGCCTGATCAGACATACCTTACTCTTTCCAAATTCTCTTTGAATGTTCTTGAATTCACAATGACTCTAGTTTCCATCTGTGGGAATTTTGACTAAACAAAATGCTCAGGTATGAGGCCTTAGGATCCTTTCATAAGATATACCTGAATTTTCATTCTAATATAAGTGTCACTGCACCAGTTTGGTGTTGTGGGAAGGACAGAGGAAGAGATGTAAGGTGCTTTCCTTTTCCTGTGATCCATACACCCAGCTTCAGGAAGTGTTCCACTCCCCCTCCCCAGGCCCCCACTAGCGATTAAGACCCAAGATGAAATAATAATGAGATCTTCATTACAATTTCTTGATTGCCCTGCTTAGACACAGTTAATAGTTTGTAGGTGATGAAAATTGCACTTAGAAATTTCAGGATAAACCCACACTTCCAGCTTAAGATTGAGACTCTCACCTTTAGACATCATCTCAGTTAAGCAGCTCCTGTTGAAAATAACAGATAGGTATTTAGAAGATTCAGATGTGCCTTATAGGTCCAGATTATCTGTTACACTCCGTTTCTACTGAGTACAGCTTAAAGCAAGTACTATGCCCTAGCACTAGTGGAAGTTAGAGCCCCTAAGGACTGGCCACTAGCTAGGGTTATCCGGAACACCTCAGACATCAGTCACGCCTCCCTATCAAACCTGTCCCTGCACCAGACTGTTGCAGGGAGGGAAGTGCAGGAGCTGACTACTCTGGGGAGTACATCTACACTACAGGGGGGAGTCGATTTAAGATACGCAAATTCAGCTACATGAATAGCGTAGCTGAATTCGACGTATCACAGCCGACTTACCCCGCTGTGAGGACAGCGGCAAAATCGACTTCTGCGGCTTTCTGTCGACGGCGCTTACTCCCACCTCCGCTGGTGGAGTAAGAGCGTCGATTCGGGGATCAATTGTCGCGTCCCAACGAGACGCGATAAATCGATCCCCGAGAGGTCGATTTCTACCCGCCGATTCAGGCGGGTAGTGTAGACCTAGCCTGGGGGATTACATTGCACCAGAAGATTCTCTCCAACTGTGGAGTTACAGCCAGTCTGAATAGTGCAAATGGAGCAGAATGGGCCAGAGCATCTAACAAATAATGTTTACCTGGTGCCGTCACCCACCTAACTCCAGTGTAAGCCTTGGAAAATTTGGCCTGTACTTAAAGTGCATGAGCGTACGCACGCTCACACACACACACACACATAAAAAAATATAAAGAAGCAAGATAGGCCACAAATGACAGATTTAATCTGAACTTTCTGGATCTTTATATTTCCTATTTTTTGTGACGATAGAAGACTCTTGGAAGTGACCCTGTAACTCTGTCTACATTGGAAAATGAACTATTGCTCACAAAATTACCTGACTTTAGTTTTGAGCAGCTCTGGGACAATTTGTGGTTCCAAGCAGACCTCTTTGTTTTCAGATGAGCTTTACATTGTTTTGGGGGGTTCATTCATATCCAAAAGCCAGAGCAAAATTCAGGGGGTGTACGAACCCACGTGATTTAAAATCAAAGAAAAGAATTGCACAAACATCCCCAAACTGAAGCGTCTGTGTTTCAAACACATCTACTTAGGCCCACCTTGAACATGTGCCTACTATTCCTTACTGGTTCACTGGAGACCTACCATAGTTGAAAAGAAAGCAGATCTTAACAGGAATTTCCTTAAAGATATGTTTTATCTAGTCAACTGTTGGTCTTATTCTTTCATATTCTAAGTACCACGAGTCTGTGAACATTATAATAACATTCAAAAGGAAATAATAGCTTGTTAAGATGACATAATTATGAAAATGAATCAGAATGAGTCAAAAAGCATGTAGGTGTTAAAAGTGTGACAACTAGCTTCAATTCATACAGTTGCCTTATAGATAGCAACACAAAAGAGAAAATAAGATGGAAACAAAATAAGTATTAAATATTTTTTTAACATTTTATTGAACTGTGTTGCAAGAAAAAATAATGAAATACATGGGAGAGTGTGGCAATGAAGGGCAATGAAAGACTGCCTATGTGGCAATGAAAGGCCTCCTTTTTAGCAAAGTTATTACTTAGAGCTTTTTGCAACACTCCAGATTTCAATGAGAGATCAAAAGTTAACAGCATTCCCCATGTCATAATTCCAACTCCTAAATATCGAGATCTTAATGCAGTTCATCGCTCTATTTCTTTAATTTCTACTTGTTATTTTTACTACTTTTTCCTAACTTCTGCTTTTTTGACTAATTTTCTTTTTTCATGTGACACTACATTTTCTTTCTCAGTTAATTTTACTTATTCCCTGCTATTAAAACTCTGCCACCTTTTCTGTATCTTGTTAATGTAATACTGCTGAGCCCAGGAATTTTGGTTTGGTTTGTGAACAGAGTTTTCAGTATTCAGATACAGTTATTGCATTACCATTGATCTCTCTTTGAAACAGAAGTTTATTCTTAATATATATATGTTATTCATTAAGGAAATATACAACATGAGATAAAAGACAATATCAAAGTGAGATTTTTCTTTATTGTATTTTCATATAGACTTACATAACTTGATAGTATTGTATTTTTATGTCGGTTAACCACCAAATTTTCAATATTATGACATCATAAGTGTTATAACATAAATTCTGTGATTCAACTCACTGTTCATATACATCAGAATGAAAAGTACAAAAAAAAAAGGAAAACTAATAAAAGACAGAAAGATACTAAACAACATGCTCTGTATCTTAACCTTGGCAAGTACTAGTGTTAGATGGGCCCTATCATACAAGCACTATTAACTACTTTTTGAGTATTGCATTTTTAATTTTTACATATACTGCAATATGAAACCCTTAAAGTTGTTTCATGGAACTTAATGAAGTATACAAATTATTTGTAATTATGCATCTGAAATGTAAATATGTGTATCAAAAGAAATGACAGGGAAAATTATTATGAGATCTGGAACTTGAGGATGTATGTTCACCTATAGACCTATGATTTTGACGTAATCAAATGATCCTGAGCCTGGACCCATTGCTATTTATGGAAGAACTTCTGTTGCATTTGATAAGAGCAACATTGGGCCCATAATGAGCTCACTTACAGTGCATTTACTTTTTCTGCTGCTCAGAACTCTCTCATAAACAGGAGTGGCTTTTCATTTGTACTTGTTTCAGGCCAGTAGGTCATATAGGAACTAATCCTACAGTCCTTACAACAAGAATCTAGTTGACATCATCAGGACTGCAGAACTTGGGTCTAAAATTGCTGCTGCTAAGAACCCAGTACTCATGGCATATTGAAGTGTGCTCTACTGTAGTGGTGTAATACAAGGATAATGGACTATGAAGCAGACTAACAAGATTTTTAAGGTGCAAAATCATTGAGTCACTTAAAATCTATTAGTTAAAATGCTCTGAACTGTTGATACAATAATCTTGTTGAGTACATTTCACTACCATTTTAGACAGGTAGAGACATATGTGCATAGTATAATTCTCTTTCAGGGTGAGGTAGCGGATAAGTGAGTCTTGTTTATAGTGATATCAATAAAAATTGTTAATGCAAGCAGGGCTGTGTGTTGAATATTTTACAGGAACTGGGACCCCAGAAGTGGGATGACAAGTAACCTCTATATTTTTTTAATCTTTAATAGTCATCATTTTCAATCCAGACCTTAGAGCCTGGTTCTGGTCTCCTTTGGTGGGAGTTTTAGCTGTGTAAAGACTGCAGAATTAGACCCTTAGAGCTGTTGAAATTTAGCTCGACTACTCCCATGCTCTTCTCATGATACATACAAAACTTGCATTGAGATTTTGCTGCTTGTATATTTTTTTTAACTTCAGATTAACTCATTCTTGAATATGATGTAAGCAATTCAAAGCCCATCTCAAAGAAGTGTTTCTACCTAATCTCTGTGTAACCATTTTAAATATTATTTAGTCTATGAGTGGCATGCTATTTAGAATTTTCACTTGACAGTTATTTACCTCACTGCTTTCAACTATGACAGTGTTGTTCTTTTTTTCTCATTCTTTTCGAACCCCTGTTTATATGTGTGTATTTTTTTCCTCTGCCTAGACCTGGTTAACCATTTCTGTGAACAGGTCCTCAATTTTTTACTTTGTCCCTACTTTCCTGTCGTAGCCCCATCTTCCCCTGGTGTCGACTCCGTACCCTTACAGCGCACAGGCAGTCAGCACGGCACACAGAACGCAACATCGACCTTCCAGAGGGCCAGCTATGCTGCAGGCCCAGCCTCCAATTACGCAGACCCCTACCGACAGCTGCAGTATTGTCCTTCTGTTGAATCACCATACAGCAAATCTGGGCCAGCCATCCCACCAGAAGGGACCTTGGCTAGGTCACCTTCCATTGATAGCATTCAGAAAGATCCCAGGTGGGTGAAACCTTATTTTGTCTACCGTTACATGTTGATAAAGAAGGGTTATAATTGCAGTCTACTTCTTGTATTTCAACTGTGGTGTATTATTGAAAAATGAAACAAAAATTGTGATTTGTCCTATAAAAGATTCTTTGTTTGAATTAGAATTATCTGTTTTAATGCTTTTTTTAGCATACTCTTGTGAGCTCTCCTTTAGAACAAGATGGCCTTCAGTACATACATTTGTCTATCCTTGCTAGGGCCACCATGTGAAATACTATGAAAAGAATTATGCTGAGACTTTGGCACCATGAGTCCATGAATCTTAACTGTGATGGCTCAGGTTTTTCTATTCAAGGAGAAATTTTGTTCTTCTGTAAATGTTTAATAATGTGCAAAGTGGCACCTGAGTGCTAGGCTATGAGAATAACAGTGATTGAGAGAGAGAACATGCTCAGGTCTATATTTCATCTGAAGATACTCTATCTAAGCTCTGCCAGTACATGACAGCAAAATGATTTGCAGTGTAACTTTCAGTAAATGATTATTGCTGCCTACAAATTTAAAATGTAGAGCCTCTTCTCTTCACAGAAAATATTGGCTTCTATGACACATACGCACTGTGTGGTTGTATACATATAAACATAAAATATAGTCATCATTGCATTCTCTAGGTATACTGGAAATCAAAAAGTATGTGCTTGATGGTAGCATTCTAAGGGGTGAATTGTCCTCAGTTATGACAGTAACAGAGATGGAGGTATTAACAGCACCTCTTAATTGGATTGGTTGTTTTTGTTTGGTTTTGTGGTGCAAAGGATCAGTAATTTTATGGGGTTTTTATGATTCTTGTAAGTTAAATGGCTTTGAAGTTGAAATCAGACTCTTGAGAAGTTACATAATTAAGCTTTTATTCACAAATATTTGACTTCTTAAAATCTGTATTCATTTGTACAGGATTTTCTGTGGTAGATATTGTGATTTTGTTGCATGGTATTTAGCAACAGGAACACCCAAAAATGTGTCCCCAACAAGGTCATTAGGGAGATGTTTGACCAACAAGATACATAAGATATAATGGCAAGAGTTTCCTTCTTTCACTATAGAAATGAACGACTCATAGCCTTGATAGTCAACATGTACAGAGTGCAGGCTATCTGTATTGTAACTGCCTCACTAGTCCAAGAGGCCAACAACAGATTAATTTCGTAGCATATCAGGGACACTACTGCTTCTAGTACAGCTCATTATGCTAGTGACCCACTTCTCATGTGGGTATAGCTGCTGTCTCCTTATCCTTAACTCTTGATGCTACACCATATGTTTGAATGAGGAGGAGACAACAAGCACTGTTTTAGGTTTTATATATATATATATATATATATATCTTCGCACACAGATAAAATATCATCACACTAATATAATTTACCCATCTAGAAGGTCACTAAATTCTGACACTTGTTCTATGGTATTGAATTCTTGATGGGAATAGAAGGACTTTTGCATGCAACAAAACTTTGCCTTGTAATCATACCTTGTTAATGCCGTACAAAAGATGTACAGGGACTTGAAATATAAGAGAAGAATGAGATTGATTGCAATAAATACATTTAGGAAAAATATATTGGAATTGAAGGCATTCCTCCTTGTGCTAAAGGAAAGCATATGTACTATATTATGGTAGTGTTGCACATATGGTTTAAAAAGATGTAATCTTTGTGGAAAATACACCATTATCACTGTAATGATGGAATGATCAGCATCTGCATAGGTTATATGCTAGCAAATGTCAAACTTGTTCCTTTTGTAAAATGATTTTGTTTACTTTTGCTTGGTGCTCTAGCCATATTTTCCAGCCCGTTTTGTTTCTCTTCTCCTTCCAATGTAATACATGGAATTATATGAATACTAATTTCAATAAGAATATAGGAGATGGAATATTGACATCCACAGATGTAAATAGAACTTGGTAAGCTTTACACAGAAATAAATTTGTTTATCTACCATTTTTCATTTCATGAATTAATCATAAACAGGCTGTGATTTTTACATTTTTTTTTTTTGGTAACAGGGATTTATATTGTAGCTTACGCAAATGTATTTCATGTTGTAGATTACTACAGAGCTACTGACTGCAGCTATTGCTTCAAGTATTTGTTATCTGCATATTCACAGATTGTGTTATTTGGTTGGTTACCTGAGTCACATGGTAGTGTTCTGAAAAGCAAATTAAAGGGGGAGGGGAGAAGTACATATACTTTCAAAGCCAGTTGTATGGATTTTACTCAAACAAATGTTTGTAAATATTTTATTGTAGTAATCGCTCAGCTCTAGACCTAAATTATTTGTAAATAGAAATGAAAGAGTGTGACATCCTTGAGTAAAAGTGTTCTGGCTTCAAATAGAAGTCAGTCTTATGAAAATTAGCTTGATGCACCAAGTAAAAGATTATTACCCGATTTTTTTTTCAACTAGTCTGGCAAGAAGGAATCAAAGTGAGTTAAAGGTGGGGAAAAACTCAATTTCTCAAGTTAAAGTGATTAGTTTAATTTGAAAGATGAAGTTCTGGCCTGTTTTACACAGGTGGTGGTAGAGACAGGGGTACAAGATGAGGAGGAATGGTGTTGGATATCTCTCCCCAAGCAACAGGAACTTTCACAGGAGCAGCAGATAATACAGACCCAGCACCCCCTTGAATTCTATGCACAGATCCGGTTTAACTTCCATGAGTAGGATTCTAGAATCTCAGGAATCACTGATAGGCTCCTTGCCACTAATAGCAGCACTAGAACAGGGCATGTAATTCTCCTTTAGCAGCAATGGTAAGGAGCACTGCTGAGCATGTTGTGTCCTGATCTGTAAGAGGTATATTCCACTGCATGGGCAAAATGCCTTACTAAGCTGCCCCTATTCACCACATTACCAGAAACATATTGACAAATTGGAGGGAGTTTAGAGAAGAGCAACAAAAATACCAGGAGAGTTGGACAGATTGATTTATGAGGAAAGATTAAAAGCTTGGCTAAAAGAATAATGAGGGCAGAGAGACAAAACACCCCAAATACTTGAAGGAACACTGAGAAAAGACAGAAATCATTTAACATAGTACACAGAGATATAATTAAGAGTAATGAATGAAATTAAGAAACAAAATTTGGGCTGAATTTCAAGAAAAGCCTCCTGGTGGTGAGCTGTGTTACCCTGTGGAATCAATTCCACAGGGATATTGTTTGGACTCTTTGAAGCTAGACTGAACAAACACCAGAAAATGTATTGTAGGGAGCAATCTTCCATTGCTCAAGGGATAAACTGGATGATCTAATAGGTCTTGGACTTCCATGACACTGTGATCTATTGCTGTGGTAAGAAAATTCGTGATCAAATGAGTTTCTGGTACTAAATCTGTATGATCTGTCAGATTTTTCAGTGGGTCATTAATGGACTAAACTAAAAAAAAAGAAAATTGTAAAATCTGGCAGAACAATATAGTAACAGCAGCAGTCATGCTGAAAAACAGTTCAGCAATACAATCAAAACTGACTTCAAATAGAATAAAATTTAATATCCCATAGGTAAAATGTACCATTGATATATTATCCATTTCCATGTCATAGTGAATGATATTGTTATGAGTTTTTACTGTTTACATTTTTATAGTATGCTGTTTTTAATAAATATGTTTCAAACAGTACCTTTAAACTATTTATACAAAATACACTGGAAAATCCAATGGACACACACACAAATGGTGTGTTTACCAAAAATACTGTACTTTCTAGAATACTCATAGAATGATAATCTGAAAGCTCCCTTTTTATGACTTTTTAATTTTTTTCCCCAGCACTTTCTGGTGAAAAAATGTGACAACTAAAGTAGATAATTTAAAAATGTAAATAGCATTAAAAATACAAATAACTGGTAGTGGCACATTACTTTTTTGAACTGTCCAGGTAGAAATCAGCACAGTTACGGATTGTGCCAGCTATTGCATAATTTAAATTTTATATCCTGAGGCATTCCTGCTGTGCTTTTACTTTCAAAGTCAAAGTTCTGATTGATTACCTCTGTTGGGGTTAATTTCCCACCACACAGAGAATGAAAGCACTGACTCACTACCTTCAAAGTTCTTAAATCATAAGCCTCTCATTGTACAAAGGAGAAGTAGGCTGAAGCAAAGCATCCTGTGTCCACTATGAACCATCAAAACCCATTTTGCATCACTTTCTGCAAAGAGCTGTGGTATATTTTCAAACCTATCTTTGTAAAGCTTTCTTTTCCCTGTAGTAAAAAGAATCTCATTATGATAAGTGGCAATTAACATATATGCTTCAATAAAAGTTCAATAAAAGTATAAGACATTGTCTCTTTAAGATAAACTGAAATATTTCTGCAGGAGTCCTTACAGCATATTTATTTGGTTTGTTTTAAGGATTATCATAATAGTAACAGAATTGCTTTACTATAAATCTTTATAATAGTGAAAGGCGCTATTACAGTGTTATAAGAGAGGCCAGGAAGAATATAAACGTCAGTCTGTGTGTGTTTGTGCAAAAAAAAATTATTCTGTGTGTGTGTATGTGTACATTTTTATTTTTAAAAATGTATAAGGCAGTGTGATATACTTGTGACAGACAGAAATACGAAGCAGGCAGTACCCCAGGAATAGTTATTTGGTGGCTTCCTTTTCCCTATTAACACTCCCCATTGCAAGGATGTCCATTTGTATTTTTTTTCCAGCGTTCCTTTCCCAACCCATTAAACTGGCAGAATCAAGTAGCTGTAGCCCTAAGGTGATAATTTTGCAATTGACGGTGCTGGCTGTATCTTTCTCTCTTCCAACAGGATATCTATTCTGTTTTCCCTTTCTTATTGCTGAGGTGATGGCATATCCTCACAGGCATTTATCAGTAGTCATCTATGTGCAGAACAATGAACCAATATGAAATATTAAAATCAAAGGACGATCCAACCAACCCAAGCAGGCACAAAATTCAAGACAATTGATATGGACTCAG